TCGAAAGTCGCCGAAAAGACAATCACGTCATCGAGGTACACCAAGCAGGTTTGCCACTTAAGTCCCGACAGAACCTTGTCCATGAGACGCTTGAATGTTGCTGGCGCCGAACACAAACCGAAAGGAAGAACCTGAAATTCATAAATTCCGTCGGGCGTAACAAAGGCGGTCTTCTCACGACCTGCCGTGGAACTTGTTGCCGAGTTGAACTTGTTCACCTGCCGTTGAACTTGTTCACGAGCAGCCGTGGAACTTGTTGATCAGCGTGAGAAGGCGGTCTCGCTCAATAAGAGATAACATTGGACCAACGTCTACAGGTGTCGGTGTAGTGATAGTAGACGCTGCTGCTTCCTCCACTAAATGATAATCTTCTGTTTGCGAGAGTTCGTCAAAATAGGCAATAGCCGTGCCTTTAACTATGTGTCGGCGTTCTCTGCTGAAATTTGTCAATAGCAGTTCAGCGCATCCGTCAATAACAGTGATGACAGCCCTGGCAACAGAAATGCCGCTAGTGAATGCGAGCTCCTTGATGTGTTCAGCGACGCCAGTACCATTTCGTAATTTGTCACAGTGCACGGATACGAGAGAACAACTTCGTGGCGGCAGTATGACGTCGTCATCGGCAATACGGAAGTGAGGTGGCTGGTGTTCCTCATCTGTAGCAGTCTCCGAGCTTACAGTGAACGTTACGCTTCTGTCACGGATGTCAATCACAGCCCCGTATTTGCGCAAGAAATCTATTCCCAATATGAGCTGTTTACAGCACTCGTGGAGAATGACGAGGGTGGCGACAAAGGTGGAACCAGCAATGAAGAGTCGGGCCGTGCACTTTCCAACCGGTGTCATCAACTGACCTCCTGCAGTTCTTATATTGGGTCCCTGCCATGGCATTTTAACCTTCCTGAGTCTTTCGGCTAGCTGTAGGCTTATTATAGAAAAGTGGGAGCCAGTGTCCACAAGTACCGTCACTTGGTGGCCGTCAATGTGAACGACGAGGTCAGCGTTGATAACGTCGGTTACGTCGGCAGTTGTCTCATTCGTCGAATTAGTCGTTGCTGTCGTCTTCTTCGGTATCGATGGCTTCCAGCTGTCACTTGTCTGCAATGGGGGGCTGTTCGGAATTTCGAATATTGGCAACCCCACCCCCCGAGGTCGCTGCGTCTAGTTTCCCCGTCGCGGGCTAGGGGACCTGCCCCTGGTGACGTCGGCAAAACTGCGACGATTAGGTGAACTGGGCCGCGCAGGAGATGGAGAACGTGATCTGGGCACTACTGGATTCTGCGGCGGTGTGTTCACATGGGCGTAGTTGTACATGCGTTGATCGTCGTACGCAACGTAATCAGGGTAGCGAGGAAATCTCGAGTACTGAGCATCGTGATAACGGAAAACTCTGTAGACGTGCCCAGCTTCGCCACAATGAACGCATACCGGTCGACGGTCAGCAGTACGCCACAAATCGGTTTTCCGACTCTGGTAGGTAAGTGGAGACTCACTATTGGGCCACGTTGTGGGGCGACGTTGTGGGGCATGTTGGTTATACGGCATTCGTCTTGTCAGAGGAATCGGTGAGGTTGCGAAAATGGTCGGTGCTGACAGTGGCTGTGTTTGCAGTGTTGGTGGTGGTCCAGTCATTGGGGTCTGCTGTGCTGAAGGAGCGACGACGGGGCGTCAGACTGCATCAGCATAAGTAAAATGTCGTCGCACACCATTATAGCCGGATGAAGAGAGAGCATGGCGGACCTCATCCCGGACAACATCAGCGACAAAAGACAATGCCGGCGTCGGTTCAGTTGCTGGAATTAAACCAAGCTGCCGAAGCTCCTCCCTCAAAATCTCCCGGATGACTTCCCGCAGAGGCCTGTCGTTGTCGCAGAAGCTCGCCGCAATCGTGACAGGGCTACTCGCTCGAACGTTGCCCGGGTTCTGCTGGCGGTACCATTGCTGTAGGGCCCCCGTTCAATAGCTGTGGCTTCTTTAGTGAACTCAGCTACTGTTATTGGCGGATTTCTCTCAAGCCCAGCAAACAGTTGCTCCTTCACGCCTCGCATTAGATACCGAAGCTTCCTGTCTTCCGGCATCTCGGGATCCGCCCTGCCGAAAAGACGGGTCATGTCCTCGGCGAACATAGCTACGCTCTCGTTTGGTTTTTGAATTCGAGCTTCCAAGAGACGTTGCGCATTCTCCTTTCTGTCAAGACTACTGAAGGTGTCAATCAGCTGGTTGCGGAAGTCATCCCACGTAGCCATGCTTCTTTCCCTGTTAATGTACCACCTCTGGGCGTGTTCTTTCAGATAGAAGTACACATTCACGAGCTTGTCTTCTGGGGTGGCCCACTGGTTGTACTTCGCGCAGCGTTCAAACTGGTCCAGCCAGTCTTGTGCATCTTCATAGGTCTCACCATGAAAGCAGTCAGGAATCATGGGATTCTGAAGTGTCATGTGCGATGTAGCTGAAGTGGCCATGGTGGTTGAAGGAGGCAAGCGATTGCTGGCAGTTTCTGGAAAGGGATTGAGCTCGGGAGCTAGGCCTCGCAGACGGTGGCTGGAACGGTGGACTGGTGTATCGACGGGTGGTAGTGATTCCGGGCTTGAATGTCGGGTCCGCGAAGGGGTGCCAAGCATGAAGACGTACCCAGCACCTCCACCAGTGTGACGACGCGAGATTGATGAGCACACAAAGCGCCTCAAACAAATACGATTTATCGATCGCAGGAAACAGGCTGCAACGACTTCTTCGTCTTTTACCCTCGGCCAAAGACACTCGCGCTCCTTCGTTGTCCTCACCACTGGCACATACGCGCGTCAATATATATATATATATATATATATATATATATATATATATATATATATATATATATATATATATATGTGTGTGTGTGTGTGTGTGTGTGTGTGTGTGTGTGTGTGTGTGTGTGTGTGTGTGTGTGTGTGTGTGTGTGTGTGTGTGTGTGTGTGTGTGTGTGTGTGTGTGTGTGTGTGTGTGTGTGTGATACAAAGTTGGCGAATTTTGCAGTGGCATCGGGCTAAAGAAAAGAACCAAAAACACACCATGCCTACCCCTGCCTAGTCTTTCAATAGCCGGATATCATGATCGCACGACATTATACGCCTACACAGTTATAGACATTCATGTGAAACACATAAATTCAGCAAATGTTCTACTTAAGGTTTCAATTGGTAAATTAACGTCATCATCACGAAAAACTGGCCAAACGCTTTCTACTTTACCATCTCAATATGCTCTCAATGACTGATCGACACATTTTGGGGAGCATCCATTGTGCCGGTCAGACATGCGAGGTAAAAACAAAAAAGCACCCCGCGTCAATAATATATAATGTACAGACTGCTTATACATAAATATATATATAGCAAAAATGACTCCGTATTTGCATGTTTCACTGCAAATGTCGCCGAAAGATGATAGCCTTGCGTCTGGAGAGAGTTAAGAAACGGTTATTTCATGTTTTGCGTGAGAAAGAACGGTGAATTGTATTCTAAAGGCACTGCGTTAGAGTGTCTCGATCCGTGCTGCGAAGGCGAACGAGTGCCTCGAGGCACGTTAGACACGAGCACTATCTGGCAGTTATCTCATAGAGAAAAAGAACAAAGCCGTGCGCGCCTGTCTCGGAGGCGATACAGTGTAGAACACAGAGCGACGGGCAGGTGCCACCACCGTGTCGTCTTACGAAAGCTTTGGAACCACTTTCCTTTTTGAGCATAGCGTCCGCGCAACGTGATAAACGCTGCGGTCCTTAAAATTTTTTATGTATGCCTTCTCTAGTATTAGGACACACATACAGGATACTGACGTGCTGTATTGGTGCCCCAGATATGCACAATTATTGATTTTTAATTGACAATCGCACAAGTATGAATCCTCAAACTTGAGCAATATTGGTGGGCGCTGTGGATAAGGTTGGCTTGTTGGGGTATTGTTACGATGGACAAACAGACAAATGTACAGACAGACAGACAGACAAATAAAACTTTTGCGTCAAAGTACCCTAGGAAAGACTATCGTCTTCAAAAGGGAACAAGTATTTCCTATCAGTGGAATAATTCATTCTCCGGGAAAGCGAAAACTGGATTCACGGGTGCCGCATAGTTTCTTGGACGCCGCGTCGATGAAGCTGCAGCTCAAACAAGAAATATGAGCTTTTAAAACTTATTTGGTCACCCCATTGCCACTTTTCCAATTTATTTAGTCATGCGAACACCGCAAAGTCGAGGTCAACGTGCAGCCTGTCATCATTGCGACCTTTTCGCTTCATTTTTCACATGCCAGCTTTTTGTTCAAGTTCGCGTTTACCTAAGACTTCTGAGGCTCTCGCCATAGAATTGGACGCTTTATTGGTCTAACTTATGCTAGCAAAGAAAATGAAACTCATACTGCAGTGAGAGCTGCGAGCACATACTGAATTCGGTTGTTAAAAATCTGTGACTAAAGGGAAACTTCTCAACTTTCATTTATGCGTCGTCTACATTCTAGCCTTATCCCTGGTAATCGCGTAATTTCTATAGAATATGCTCGACTGTTTGCGTTGCCGGAACAGCATAATTATGTTGAAAAAAACACACACACATAGGCACTTGCAGCAAAGAGTTCAGTGCACGGGGGCCGCCTCACACCAAGCTGCACTGTTCGCAGTAGATTTAGCTGATAAAAGCATGTAACAATGAGATACACAGGCTATAGAAGGCGCGTGAGCATGGCATTGACAGTAGCAATCGCAGCTTAGTGTCCGCTCTGAATGCATGCAACGCATTTTAACGCTACAGGATACGCGTGCTTGCGTTTATTTAGGAAATGAGAGCAAATGCCAATTGGGGAAATTGCTTAGTCATATAGCTCCTCAATTCGGTAGCGTGGTTCAGTGGGTCAGTAGTGAACTTCCGTAGCGTGGCTCGTAGTGGTGAAGATGCTCATTCAGATAGTTCAGTCAATGCGAAATTCACTGGCACGATAACATCATGACGCGCATCTTGCTGTGCAGTCTGGAGGCTCTGCTGCAGCGGCTTCGGCCCAACATGACCGAGCTGCAGTTCCTGGTGGTGAACGACCGCAAGTCGGCGCACTTGCGCGACCACCTGGAGCAGCGCGTGTCATTCGCCGTGCACCAGGAGACCACGGAAGAGCCAGTCTGGACCACCATGGAAGGGGCAAGGACGACGTCTTTATCTTCGACCGCTGCGGCCGGCTCGCCTTCTACGTGCCGTTTCCCATCAGTCTCGTGTTGCCGGGTCACCTGCCCGTGGTCGAGGACTCTCTGCGGCGCGCATACGACGGAGAGCCGTGCGGGCTCACCTGCGAGGAGCCGACCGAGCGGAATCCCCGAAACACGGACAACCCGGCTCGGCGCAATTCGCTGGGCTGGCGCATACTGCACATGTTCCTCGGCGGCGAGCAAGACGATGAGTCGCACGAGTGCGACGAACGCAAGCAGTCGCAGATGAGAGTCTGTTGCCACCCGAATAGCCACACGGAAAGCCCCTATTGCAGGCAAGCGCCCAGCTGTGAGGAGCTCGGAGCCGCCTGCGGATCCTGATGACAGTAGAGCCATCCGTCCGAGTTCTCCGGTCACTGCGCGTCCGGGCGGTGTTTCTGACAAGGGCTGTGATCCCACATGAAGATGCTGGGTCAAACCAGGGCACATTCGCCCAAGGCTCACGCGTCAGATGTCGCCGATGCGCGAGACGCGGCCCGAGGAGGCCTCGCTCGCGACGCGTAGTAAAGGAGGGCCGTGGGTGGCCCCACTTCTGTACGACCTTGTGGTAGTTTCTTTTACACAGCGCGCAAATGTTCTCAAGCAAGCTAAAGCAGTGCAACATTGAAGAGCACCACGCATTTGTATACAGAAAAGCGTGAATTGATGTTGAGTATAGTGTTAACGATACGTGATCACGTCAGTTGAAGCAAACAATATTTAGTGACTTAGATCATCTATCTATTTCGGCATGTTTTTTAGAAAGATCCTCGCCACTACTTAAACTGACGAGAAACCACATTTATGGTACAAGTATCCTCACCTTCACATACCATTTCAATCTGCTAACAATTAATTATTACAGACAAATAAATACTTCCTTTGCTAAGAATTAAGACAATCACTTCACAAATACCGGCCCCAAGAAGTTATTTCGCGACATAAAACTGCCACCGGAGCTTCGCACATGCAAAGAAAGTTCCACAAGCGTCAGTTACACGGTATAACAACAGTGGGTGACTCTTAAACCTGGCGCATAGGAGCCCACTCAAGTGCGCAACGCATACATGGAATGGTAAAGACTTGTGCTCTAGTACAATAACAAAAGAAAGATTACAGCAAGGGATTTTGTTTTACTAAACTCCTGCCCTATTGGTAGGAAATGAAGGTGAACAATGCGTGCATTATCGTGGCATTACGTTCATCATTACCCTTGCTAGAGTTTGGTAAACTTCTCCAAGATAACACTGCTGTGTGGAGCCTCCCCTTTCAACACCATCATAAAGAGGGTGTCGTCTACCTAGTGACGCTTACCCAAAAATGTGGTGGGCCATGAACAGCGTTGCAGGGTCGATGTTTCAGGTAATGACATATGAAGCTTCAAAAACATAGGTAATCTATACGACAAATAAAACATCGAGGAAGAAAATATACTTGATGACAAGTGCCCAGGTCACCAGAGGGGATTAATGATGTGGGTGGCAAAAAATTTAGAGTGACGAATATGAACCAAGAAATGAAGACAGGCTCAGAACATGATCTCTTTGGGTAATTTATAAAATTGAACACACCAGAACAGGCATCCATGTGGTAATAACACGATGCAGTACTGCGAAAAACTAAATTACTGCAACACCTATTGTTAATCTCGTGCTCTTAAGTGGAGCTACAGGGTATCTTTCTCCGTGTTTAGAATATTGGTGTACGTTAACGTAAGACTTTGGTCGGCAGATTAAAAAAAAGGGGGATGGTGAACTAAAATTCAGCCTATACTGTAGGAACGGAAATGCAAATCAAGTTTATTTTATGCCTGCTTGCCACAAGTTTGAAATGCTGAAACATAGGCTGAAGGAGAAAAACCCGTTGGAGGTCAAAAGCGCCATGTTGTTCTTCAGATATATACAGGAGTGACCAGAAGAGGGGAAGGACTTGTCTTTCTACCCGGGGCTGCATAATGCTGCCATAAGGGCTCCAGGATGCGGACCCCTGGTCTATAACTTCAGTGCACTTTCACCTTTTTTAAGAATATTGAAGTTAGTTGGCATGAAAGCAATACAAAAGTGGAAAATTTCGTCATTTTGGACTTTCCTCACATTGCGAACGCAGAAATTCCCCCGTGCCTTAATCGAAAACGTGCCCCGAAAAAAATCTGGCAAATTCCACGTACCTTGGGATTAGTTATACGAAGCATACGGAGGGAACGTGACTGCGTTGCAATTTTTTAGTGAGCGAAACATGCAGCACTGACATTAAAGTTATGTAAAAATATTACACTCACAGAGATATTCTAAACAGTCACATGCTTACTGTTGCCTAACGATGCCAAAAGGAACATGGGTATTAGCGAAAAGAGAAGCGCTTAGCTAATATGCAGCGCTTTTGCCTGCAAGTATGGCGGCCCTTGACACTGCTAGATAAATAAGCTTCATTGGATGGCGCTTTACTACAACAGCAATTAACTCGACGTGATGTCTTTAAGGTATGAGTACGTATGTACTGTTTATTGAATTTGATAGCCAGCACTGCAACCACACTGGACATTTCATGCACATTACGGTCTACTTGAAAAGCATTTCTGGGAACTGGCGTAGGTCCATGGTAGAATGCTTCATGCCACGAAGAATGTTTGGGTTCGATTCCTGCTGAGACCATGCATGATATTTTCTATGCATTCGTTGGGTCAGCGCCACCGATGACATTAAGGGGCTATGCTCCCTATGTCTGACTTATTTGCTGGCCATCAGGCCAAACAAAACCCAAACAGAAATTGAGCACCTGCCAAGAAAAAACGAAAACATATGTCTAAACAGCTGACTTTGTGAGTAATTAGCTCTACAACAGCACAGTACATGCTCAACCGCGCCATCCGTCTCTTGATGCATCTGTCCGCTCGTCCATCGATCTGTCTCTCCATCAATCCGTGCATCTGCCGTCCTTTACAGTAGCCGTCGACTTCAACGTAGACATTATGGGCCTTCGGACCTATAGCTTCGCCCACTCGTCTTTATTCTCTTCATGGAGATGCACTAATTTTTTCCTAGGTCCTCGAATTTAAATTACCGATATCTGTTCGAGCCATTCCCTGGTTTAAGAAAACGGTTAATCACCGTCAATGCCATGCGCTTAATCGTATATCTTCTTAACCCGACGTAATGGCTTTTTCATGGTAGTACTAATTTAATGTTTATACAAAAAATAGCCATCACTACATGCCCGATTGACGCTTCACAAACGTTATGGCCTACTTGAAAAACAGTTTCGAGATCTGACATGGCTCTGTGGTAAAATAGTTGGTTGCCAGGCAGAATGCTGGGGTCCAATTCGTGCTGGGACCCTGACAATTATTCCTTACATTCGTAGTGTCAACGCAGCCGATGTCAGCTTTTTCTTAACTCTCTCGCGTTAAAATTACCCATGTGTGTTCTCGCCATTCTTGGTTAAATATGAAGTGTCAATCACTTGTGGCACAAACCTAGATACTAGTGGCAGATGCCCGCCCGCGGGTATGTGCCACTGTATGGCGGAAGTCGTTTGAGGAGGTACGTGACGGGATTATGACATTATTCATGCCACGATCAGGGAGTCGCATTAGTCAGACTGTCTTACCTTCTCATACTATTTTTGGTGTACCCCACACTCTGAAAAAAATATCGAGTATTTGGGAGTGTTTCTGCTACACAGGTTTCAATGTCTTCGATAGTCGAGGTATGGTAAGTGTTGCTGATGGCCATATCAAAACGATACACTTGACCAAGGACAATCCAGGAGTCAATAATTATCTCGTTCATTTACAGGAAGCTCAGAGATCGCTTATCAAACGATGGTAATGGCAAAAGCTCCACCGAAAGCTCAAGCGCTGCATCGTCATACTCACCGGGCAGGCACAGCAGTACGCGGAAAACCTTGCGAGCCAGAACTGGCGGTTCTTCTGGGAACAACTTCAAGGGACACTGAGCACAAAGACTTGGCACATTCTTCGAGCCCTGACTGATGACACCCATACCAAAAAATATCAAATACATACAATTCAGCCGCTCATCCACAGCCATGAGAGCACAGAGTACCGATTCCTCCAAAAACTTCAAGCCAGGCTGCGTGGCTCTGTTAACCAGCAAGCTACCCCCATCAACACTCCTACACCCAGGGAGTACCGAGGAGCACCAGACCAAGCGCTAGACCAGCCTTCCACGCAAGCAGAGCTACACGCGTCCCTCGATAGGCGTACGCGCAACACGAGCCCAGGAGAAGACACAGTGACCAATAAGCACCTACGACACTACCACCCCGGGCGTTGACGGCACTCCTTCGGCACTATAACGAATGATGGAGGAAGGGTGAGCTACCACAAGCCAAAGACCAAATACCACAAATTGACACACTTCGATGCCTTGAACTACGTGTACATAAAGATGGGTCTGACTCCGCTTCACTAGCCCGGCTGCAGAACACCTTGACACGGCACACTCACCTGATCCTAGAGGAGGTTAACCGCCGTAGTAGCTTCAAAGAGCATGATATTCTGAAATGGGTACAAGCTCTCCTTTACAGTCGCATAACGTATGGTACTTCCTACCTCAACCTGAAGACAGTGGAGAAGCAAAAACAAAAGCTGCTGATAAGATAGGCTACATAGCTTGCCCTAGAACTGCCACTAGCCACCTCCACTCAACCATTGCTTCACATGAGAGTTCACAATACGTGGGAAGAACTCGCTGAAGCACAGTTCATCAACGAGGTCGAGACTCGATCTGTCATCCGCAGGGGAACCGTCCTTCAACGCTGAGGGTACGAAACCACCCTAGAGCTCGATGAAGAACGCAAACGCAAAATACCATCACAGCTCCGAGAACGCCTTGAAATTCAGCATATCCCTCTAAACATGCATCCTCGACCTCACCGAGCAAGGCGGCTCGCCAGGATCAACATGATCCGGAATAGCCATCGCAATGACCCGCAGGCGCGATGCGTGGACGCAGCCAAGTATCCCGGACATAATGCCTTTGCGATTACCACCACAGCTGCCACAGATTACAAAAGCATGGTACTGGCATCAATGACTATCCTTGCAGAACGTGCAGAAACAGCTGAAGAGGCTGCTGTAGCACTCGCCATCGTTACGAGTGAGGATCCCATCGTAATCTTTACCGGCTCACAAACCGCGGCTTGGAACTACCTGAAAGGCAGGGTCTCCACTAAGGCGATTAAGCTACTAAAGCGCGTGGACAATCCCCCCCCCCCCTTCGCGTGCATTGTGTGGGTTCCGTGTCAAGAAGGTCTAGAGAGAAATGAAGCGGCACAAGCCGCAGCCCGCGAATGCATTCACCGGGAATTCCCGTACCAGATTCGAGGCACCTCCCACTTCACAACAGAAGCAGAAGCAAGAGCACCCGTACCGCTAACGTATCATGCATAACTGCAACATTATCGGCTCGAATGCAGGTCATAACCTTCGCCACATTCAAAACTCCCAAGAGACGAAGGTGCTGGCTTTAAAGCGCCTCCAAAGCAAGACGTTTGCCCACGGCGTACTGTTGCAACATGTGAGGCCAACGTTGCATAGCT